CCATAGGTCACCTATGAATTTGGGTCGTGGCCAATCGACTATGGTTGCGACCTTGTCTGGATCAGTAGCGAGACCCTGAGAGGAGGCAACGAAACCGAGGGCCGTGAGCTGGTGAAAGAGCCATTGACACTTGTCGAGTCTTAGGGTGAGTTTGGCTCTGGAAAAGCGGTCGAGCCAGTCTGCAATGGCGTCTAGGGCTTCCGCGGCTGTCTCCGCTCGTGTGTGGATATCGTCGACGAAGTTGTTGATATTTTGCCATTTGGAGGGACCCAAGGTGTCGTCCATCACCTGACAGAAGTGCGAGGGGGCAGTCTTGGGTCCGAAGGGCATAAAGAGTGGTTCGTAGATGCCGTCATGGAGTCTGAGCGCGAGCCATTTGCATACCGACGCATTGGTGATGGCAATTTGGTAGAATCCTTTGTTTGCGTCACCTCCCGATATGTATCGCAATGGGACTGCGACGATCCAGTTCAGGATGTCGAGCATGATGGGAAAGGGATATGGATCCCAGGCCATGCAGTCGTTGGCTCGGCGATAGTCGAAGGCTATGCGCGGGGGTTTGTCTGCATAGCGAATGATAACAGGATCGCTGGCGAAGGTTACTTCGGTGGTTCGTTCCACCTCTGAAGCCCCATCATGGTGTCTCGCTCCGTCTCGAGGGCTGTCCGCTCCAACGGAGAGTATGACCGTGGCCTCGAAAGGGGTGGCAGAGCCGAGATAAATCGAGGCGCATAAGGAATCTTGGTGTAGTTCCCTATGAGATGACCCTCATAGCTGAAGGCTTGATGGAAGTGTCGTAGAATGTTGATTAGGGCCCAGACCATGGGTTTGGGTCGCTTGAGATCGACGTGGAAACGTTCCGCGTCTTTTAATTGGGCTTCGAAGGCCCCTGGAGCCCTCTCCGTAGAGTCGAGGTTCCATTTGTTCCGAAGTGTCTGCCATTCTTCTTTGGAAATGTTCTCTTCGGGGTCCGCAACCGAATTATGGGTCGCGGTGGACAGTTTGAGGCCTAACAGGACCGTTGAGCTAGCAGCGGTGGCGTCAAGAGGGTTTTTGATGAGAAAAGTTTGGGCTGCCACGCGCGTCTGTCCCATGATTAACATGGTTAATCTAGACTTCTGAGCTTTGGCTTTGGTCAGCCGTGGCATTGATGCATCCTTCATGAATTCACCCTGCTTGGTCTTGTATGGCATGCTGCGCATGTGATCGGTGTCCAGCTCATCTGTTATGGAGCAAGGGATAAGGATGTCCGGATTCTTGAGCATCACCACGAAACTGGGTAATGGGGGTTCCTGAACCAAGGTTTGGAGTTTCAGATGTCCCAGAACGTCATTGGCTAGGATGATGAGAGGTTTCCCGTATGCAATGACTCGGAAATAGGCGCGGAAAGTCAGGTATTCTCCTCCGCGGCCTCTGAGGGAAGTTTTGAGGCATACTGTCTTGGTAGATGAGATACGTCCACCAATGCCTTTGAAAGCCATCGTTTCCGCATCCTGCAAATCAGTTTCGGAGAACAGAAGGCCCTGGTACGTGTCGGAAACCAGAGACTCGCAGGCTCCTGTGTCTAGTACCACAGGTGCCCAGAGCTGAGCGATGACGGCTAGCGTCCAGCAAGGCTGCGTTTGGGTCTTGGTCTGGCTTTTGAGTACATCGCCTAAATCTACCGAGTAGAAGGCATTGATGGAAGGCACCATGACCTCGAAATGGGGCGCGATGTCGTTACTTGTTGCTTCCGTAGCCTTGATCGCACTCTCAAAGTGCTCTCTAGATTTGTCATTTTGTGGTTTTGTTGTTTTATTCTGGCGAGCAACTTGTTCGATAGCCAGCATGACTATACACGTCCGTTCGCTCTCTTCATGTCTTTGGAGACGTGGATGGTCTTTAACGTGCAGAAATTTGGGGTTTCTGTGATGATAATAATAGTCTGAGCGAATGATATTGCCTGTCAGGAGAAATGCCACCAGTTGCAGGTTGGCGTAAGAATCAAAGATAACAGGATCTTCGGAGCTCCACATCAAGAATTTCTCATGCTCGTCGAGCCTTATCCAGGCAAGGAGGATCAAACAAGGGGTACTGTCTTCTCGGACTTTTCGCAGGATTCGATCCTTGTCAGCTTTGGCTGCGGCAGCGATGTAGAGGTGGTGGGAACTCCACACAACTGCGTAGGGGTTGTTCCCGAGGTGCCCGGCGCCTCGCTTCGGTTCTTTGGCGAAGAAGCTGAGCGCGCGGGGGTTGTTGCCCATCATCAGAGCCACTTGCGGGGTGCCCCAGATGATGGCTATGTTGTCCCAGACTTGGTCCCAGCCCTGCGTGGGCATGTGGGGGTCCTCTTCCTTGGTCACCGTGACCTCGGAAAGAGGTGCGGTCATCAAAATTGTTGATTCCGAGTGCTCGGGTGAATGAAAGAATCCGATGGTGTGGAATCCTTGATTAGCGGCGGCTGTCCTTTCCAGTTCCGAAGCCGAAAAAAGAGTCTCGGTGGTAGCGGACGTCGAGTCCAGCTCCACTATGTACGACTTCTTGGACTCCTGTTTGGGTTTCCAACCTGCGGGCATGGGTGCTCCGTATGGTCCCTTCTTTCCATCTTCAGGATCTTTTCGGTTCGGGTTCTGCCAGCAGAAAACATTCCAATGCTTTTTCTGACAGAATTTGCAGGGTGCCGGTGGTTCTGTGTTGGGGTCCAGAACCATCTTCTGAGGGCCGTCGCAACCCTTTTCGGGGTTTCCAGTTTTATGTTGAGCCGTCTGCTTAGGGCCTTTGTCAGTTCCGGTCTTTTGTGACTTCTTCTGAGCTTCTGCAGCACCGCTGTAGCAAGGGTCTCATTTTCTGGTGTCATCAGAGCTGAAATAAAGGCGCAGGAAGTCTTTTAATTTGGTCAGGTTCATGACATTACAGGATTTGACCATGATTTGGATGTCGCTGGGCAATTGTTCAACTATTAGGTCAAAATGCTGGTCAGCAGGACATTCTATGTTTGCCCGGTCGCCGTATGCGAGGCGCCGGAGATGAGTTTTGTGGTCAATGAACGCGAGAAAGCTGCGAAATTCTTTGGGGTTTGCATGGCAGCACACATATTCGGTTTTGCGCTTGGACTCGGTTAGGGGATCTCGGAACTCTCGAAGCAGTTCTTCTTTCCACCTTTTCCAGGTCCACGAGCGAGTTTCCTGGGCTTCCAGAGTGTAAAACCAAGCGTCGGCAGGGGTTTTCTCGGCTATCATGGCTGGTAGGAGCTGTACCATCCTGGCATCCGACATTGCGCTAACATTTTGAAGAAGTTGGACTTTGTTGAGCCATTCTTCAATGTCTTGGTTTCTTTTGCCCGTAAACTCGGGTACGTCCTTTGCTTTCAAGGAATCGACCTTGGTGTCGCTGGCCCACGGGGCCGCTGGCACTTGGATTGGAGGCACCGGACCTGAAAAACTTGGTTCGGTATGCTCCCTTGGTGTGTCCGACGTTTCCCACGGGGTTGCGGACCGTTCTCTTGTAGCTCGTGCTATGAGAGGTTGTTCAGGCAGCGGGCGATGCACTAGGGCTTCTAAGGCTCGTGCGAGGCGCTCATCCGCCGCTGTCTGACGTTCGGAAAGCCTATGAAGCTGTTCCGTAAGATTTTGAGTTGCCAACTGCATTGCAGCAGTCGAGCGGGCAATGTCTTCTTTTAATGCTGCCACTTCAGAGGCCATCGTGGCCAAGTTAGGGGCTTCCGGTTCGACGGAAGTGGTCCCTGAACGCCTTGGGCATGTTGCGGGAGGGACTTCAACGTCCTCCGCAGGACCCTGACTACGAGTCTGGATCACAGGTGAGCAGCCTCGCGTTGGAGAGCGTTCGACCGGCATCATTCTCGGTTTCGTGAAGTCTGTTTCCGAAACGAGAGAAAAGGTTTCCGAGTAGCTACCTGAGCGGATCTCGGTTTGTGCAAGAGTTTCGGTACGACCGAATAAGGTTTTCAGCTGAATTTGAGAGGGGAAGGCAGTTCGTCGCACTTCTCCACCATGTAATGGATTTTTTGTTGGTAGACTACGGTAAAGACAACTTGGGTCTCCTAGCAGGTTGTATGGGTGTCCGTACTAGGAATCGTAGTCTCCAAATCCTTTCTTTGGGCGTCGGTAGCGACTTGAGGGTGAGAGGCAAGGAGAGTCGGTTAGTCGTGAACCGAGCAGGATTTAGAGGCTTCGGTATGGGTGATCAGGCCATTGAAGCGCTCTGTTAGGTTCCTGTTAACCTAAGATTGGAGTTGAGAAGTGAGTTATGGGGATTTTGTGTCGCTACGGCTTCTGCCCGCTGACTTATTTTATTGAATTCCTCTTTTTATACAAGAATATGCTATGGTAACATCTACACTAGTTTCCATAGCCTTCATTAGGGTGGCAGCGTCCGATCTTCCCATCTCGGACCATCGCCATGATCAATCATGGCTGTGTAACGTATCCTTTGCGCTGCGCTGGTGTAGCCCAGAACCGAGCTTGATCTCAGGGGTTTCGAAGCTTAGGTTGCAATTGCGGAAACCTCAATCATGGTCACCTGATGCCTTTAAGCGAACCGGTTTATCAGAGTCGTTCGCTACAGAGCGAACCGGTTTATCAGAGTCGTTCGCTACAAATCAATGTTAGATGGACACGGTAGACCAAAAGTGTTCAGCAGGGGTGTTCCAGCCGTAGCGTAGATTAGTTAGATTACCTTTTCCGAACTGGTTGTCGCCGGTTCAATCCCTGGTGCGGGTGCTAGTGCCAATACCCATCGGCTCCGCACTATCGAATATGTGATCGGATGAGCATAGAAGCGGGTTTCAACCGGCCCATTGTGGTTGCAATTATTCAACAATTCCTAGGCCATACCATCAAACCTGGTTGGACGCACGCACTGCAATGTTGCTGATATCAAATATTCGATACGAATTGGATGCTTAGTAAGCCACAGTGGCTCGCGGGTGGCTGCCATGTGGCAAAGCACGACCGGGGGCTTTTGGGGAGCCGAGCGTAAGTGTGAAGTTTTCGGCCTGTTGCGTTTGCGTTTTGGCGCGTGCCCTTGACAAAAGCCATCCCCAACTCCTCTCCGATCTGGGCTTTTGAACAGGTTCCCCGCCCCAGATTTTCTCTTGTTCTGTTTCTTGTCTTGAGCCGATTTCGTGTTAATTTTAGGAAAGCATGGATTGTGGACAAAGACGACGCGAGTGGGGAACTCGTAGGACAGAGCCTACTTACCTAGCACTATCATTACACATCTCGCTGCCCAGGATGGGTAATGATGCTCATGGCCCATGAGGCCATGCGTTTCCGTCTACTATCGTTAGGCCTCGAAGCAGTCAAACGCCACTAAAAAGTGGGATCCCCAATCCTTATAGCTACTCTTTGACGACAAGCACGGCGTCAGCATTTTTTGACCCGAGAAAAGCAACTCGGGTTCCCCATTTACCATTGGGTGCCGAATCTGTGCATTATCGTAGTAGTAGACGGTTAAAAAGGAAAGGCGAACGTGCCTGATGCCCCGCCTGCCCCCTCAATTCAAAACGTAGAAATCAGCGCCTAATTTGCAAGTTCGGCTGGTCTCGCGTATTTTATCTTGCCTTGAAGCCTGTTGTCCATGTGAGTTAAGAACTGTCTTAAAAAAACTGTAGAGTTGGCGTGTTTCAAACGCGTTGTGGGTGGACCAAGTTTTACCGTTTGACTTTTATTTGTTTATATATCTTGAGATGTCACGACACGGACATACTATTACATATATATACTGAGCTCTCGTTCCCCCGCTCGTTTTGCAGAAGGAATTCCACTCGCAGTCAACGGACTGAGCAGAGTGAACGGACGTTAACGGACGTAACAGGACCAAACGGACGCAGGCGCAGACTGAACAACGGACTGCAAGTCAAAGGCGCCCTCAACCGGCGCCGTCAACGAACGCAAACTGGTCGACCCTTCCCCTGTTTCTTGAAACAAGTGACGGGACGACTACGACGACGGCAAGAGCATCACCTACCGCCGTCTCTTTCGAAAGGCTAGCTGTGAATTGACAACCAAAAAAATTGGAACACTTGTGCAAGTGTTCTTAAAGACCGGTTGGAATTCTCCTGGCTGAGGATTCTCTTTTCTGACAGAGGCCGGATTGAATGCATTAAGGGCACTTCGTGCATTCCAAGTCATTTTGCTAGAGTTCGATTCCCTGTGGATGCAATCCCTGTGTGGTTGCTTTATTTATTTTCTCTCTGAAACCCATCAAAGATCGAATTGGGATGTCCCTCGCTCTCGCTGCTCTCAACAACGCTCCCACGACTGGATCCTCTCCATCGTCGTCGTCCTCACTGTATCAAACGAATCGACTGTCTATTCCACATTTGACGATGACCGATTCCTATTCGCATCCTGCCCCCATTCTTCAAGATATGTACTCTTTCCGCCCTCATTCCTCCTATCATTCCTCGCACCTCCCAGACACGACTACAAACACAACCAGCAAGGTGATTCTGCCCGCATTTCAACGCTCATTTGACACGACACATTCCTACACCTCTCAACGGCATCATCACACGCATTCGTCTCCTCCGCTTGGATCGCATTCTCAGCCACAGCAATTGCAGACGCCCCACCACACACCTCAGTCGGCCTTTGGAACCTATGATCCTGCACTCAACGTCAACTATCCAGATGCATCTATATTTTCTTCCGCGGCTTCATCCTCTTCAGCCTATACCCATCCATCGCATCACCATCAACAACATCAAACACATTCTCATCATCATCACTCCCAACAACAACAACAACAGCAGCAACAGCAACAGCAACAGCAACAACCACAACATCATTCCCATCATCAGCATTCTCACATGTCCATGATACCCTCGGATCCTCTCATGTATCCAACGCCGTCAGCTGGTGCAGGTGCAAGTCCATTTACACTCCCGTATTCGCGCATCTACTCGCATCATGCGTCTCCCCAACAACAACCCAATATCCCTCCTGTTCCCCAAGTACAAGGTCAACAATCCTACCGGTATAACCCCCGTCTCACCCCACTGCCAGACGGCTACACTCCATACGATCCTCACACCTTTAAATCAGCCCTCTTGAACCAAACATTCGACACCAAAGATCCCGCAATAGAATACATAAAGACCGTGGCGAAAAACTTTGGTTTCACCGTCCTGGTGCGTACCTCTAAACCCGATTACGTGGTCGTGATTTGTAATTGTGGGAGACGCCTCAAGAGATTAAAGGGCGAACGGAAACGGAATCGGAGGTTCAAGACGGCTATGACGGGGTGTGAGTGGCGAGTTGTCTTGTTCAGGAGTGGTGGTAAAAAGTGGGAGTTTCGGGCAACCCCTAAAATGGAGCATAATCATTCTTTACCTGTAATTGATGGTGGGCCTTGAACATCAACATAGGAGCAGGTTGTGGAAGGGATGGTGGTGGGACGGGAATAGAATGGATTGTACCAGTCTGTGTGTTGTATGTGTGTGTGTGTTTTCTTTGGTGTGTGAAAACGCAAAACCAGTAGCCCAAAGTCATTTATTTTCACACTTTATAATGTATTTTCTCATGTGGATATAGTAGTTAGCTATCATTAAAACCGTTGTTTTTGAATAACACGGTTGATACCTTGAATAACATGGTTGATACCGTTTTTTTTTTGTCCTGAGCTTTGTCCCTTGCCTTGTAACTTTGTGCAAATCGAGTTGCGCAAAAGGCATTCTTTGCTGATTTTGTGTTCGTATGCAAAATATGGGATAAAGCCATGTTTGATACCATCCATTTTGTTTGTCGTGATGGCATGGGATTGTTAAACGCTGCAGGTGCTCGTTTAGATGTTGATCGATTTTTCCTTGGCACATCATCTTTGCGTGATGATGATCGTTGCGATAATTCGGGCTCTGAAACACTTTCTGCATGTGTTCACAAAAACTCGTTTCCTGCTCCAGATTTAAACTATGGCCCTTTGCGTTATCAATCCAATGCTTCTTGAGTTGTGCATACGGTAACTGACTTGATTGTGCGATTACAAAACGTTGTAGCATCCGAACCACACACTCATCACCGTGCCCATTTGCATTGGGATATAACATCTCTCATCTTTCACAACTCGAACATCTATTGTCCATCCACCTGGGCTATACACAAAGTCTAAAAAAATCTAAAATCCCCACAGTCAACATGACAATACAAAAAAAAACTCTACAATAAAGCTACACACTGGGTATGCTTTGAAACTAGAACAGCACGAGGCCTACAGACAAAATCTCCAAACAGGATATTCCAAAAAAAAAGGAGTGTTAAATTGACAAGGAATCTCAAATACATGGGTCCCCGGTTGGGAGCTCAGTCATCGTTGAGGTTGAGTGGATGGTTATGCTCCATTTTACTGCTCGCTCGAAACTCCCACATTCGAGGTGCAGTGCTCCTACACGACGCAAAAACGAGTCAACAACAAGCTCCAACCATGATCAAAAATATGCAAAACTTACCCAGGGATATTCCTCCGAAACAAAATCACATGCCACTCACATCCCGTCATGGCCGTCTTTCGCTTCCGTTTCCGTTTGCGTTCCCCCTCCACTTGCTTGACCCGGCGCCCACAATTGCAAATAATGACCACGTAGTCCGGTCGACTCGTGCGTACCAACACGGAGAATCCAGCCTGTTTAGCTTGATCTTTTAAGAAGTCGATGGCGATTTCGCGTTCTTCAAACTTGAGTTGGAGTATGCGCCGCTTAAAGTCTTCGTCGACAGGGTTCATGATCGGGGTGGACGAAGGGTCTGTGGAGTAGTGGAGCATTTGAGGACTGTCGTGAGGGCTCGACGATTCGCTGGGGGATGCGACCGGAGTGTGGAAATAGGATGGATGAGGAATCAGTGGAGCGGATGGTGCGCGTCGACGAGTATGGGGTTGAGATAGGTGGGCCGGATTGAGATATCCTGTTCCGTAACCCATAGGTTGTCCTAACGGGTCTCCCAGGCTTCCCATATGCCCACCCATCATAATGGCTCCCGCGGACACGCTCATATGTCCCTCATAAGGATCGGGTGTTGGCGTGCCCAAAGGGGACACCATGGCGCCGTTGTAGGACATGACCGAGGGACGTCGTGCCATGCCCGTGTCGACTAACAGCGTGCTAGGCCGCATGACTTGGTCACTGCTACTTCGCTGACGCGTCATGGCTGGTGGTGAGCGCCGCATGCGCTGCTGTCCATCGTGGAAAAAATGCTGTTGCTGTTGCTGTTGATGTCGGAACTGCAAAACCGGACGGTCAGAGTCGGATAGGGGCGGTGGTGGAATGGTAAACATGTGCTCGTGCGGAGACAATTGCTGTGTGGTTGAGATAGGTGGTAGCGGGTGCTCTGGGACGGTGGCAAGCGGTGACATGGATTGGGACATGCCTTGGTATTGAAAGCGTCCCGAGGAGTACGGGAATGAATAAACTTGTTGTGTCAATGGAGCATACGTGCTCATTGGACTGTAGGTAACGTTTGCGGGTGATCCGAAATGGAACGTTTGAGCACGCGCACGGCCTGTTCGATGGGGTTGCAGAGCAGGAGAGTGCATATGCGTGCTGGCTGGCGCGGCAAAATGAGAAAATGTGGATGTAGGATCGTGATGAGGGTGAGCGTGCTGGTGCGGATGCGAGGGATGGAGAGGAGGTTCACCCATATGTGGTAGACTTAGGGTAGATGGAATCACATCAGAGAGGTAGGGTCCCTCTATCTTTAGATCAGGCTGCTGCTGATGATGATGGGTTGCTTGTTGTAGTTGTTGTTGTTCTTGGTGTTGTTGCTGCTGTTGCTGCTGCTGTGATGAATCCCCATTCTGATGTGTTTCCTGCTTCAGCTGAAGGTCAGAGTCTGTCGTGCGGTCTGCACCGTCCGATGCCAGCCGGACAGGAGAAGCTACGAGGTGTGCGACAGAGGGTGAATGTGGGAGCGACTCGTGCGGTGAGTGCGGAGACGGGACATGTTCGCTGTGTACGGACGAAAGTCCATCAAATTGTGCGCCGATGTCACTTGCTTCGAGTTCTGCAAAGTGTTCATCTGAAGTGTGGTGGCTATCGAGCTCGTAAGAGTGGGTCATGGCATGCGTCGTGACGAGTTGCGTTCCCGTGCCCTGCTTTGTAGAGAAAACAAAAGAGGTAGAAGATCAGTATTTCTGAAAATTCCAATGCCATTTAACCAAAAAGCAGGTTACATCAGCCCGTCCACGGCCCAGCCAAGACCCGCCCACATTAACGAAATGTGCTTGGGCGAGCCTTGCGCGCATTGTCCCGTTTTGCAAAATGACCAAGCGTTTCCCAAATGCCACGTGGAAAACAGCGACCAGCAATGAAAATAAACAAGCATTTTCATGAGGAATACATACCACATCCGAACAAGGTCGCAGTGAATGCTCAAAGGACGACGTCAACAAGACGGGTGGAGACGCCGTGAGGGCAACCATCTATAATTTTACACCGACGCGAGAACTCGCACACAGGCAAGGTGGTCCAATGGGACGAGCGTTTCCGTAGCAATGATAATGCTGTAATGTGTGTGGTGATGATGGTCGCCACGGGCGGGTGACGTTCAAAACTCTCGCCTTTTCAAATGTCCAACAACGGCGACGACGACGACGACGACCACGACGACAAACAACGACGACAACGACGACGGCGACAACGAGAAATTCCCTCAAAGCACTTAACGGAAGCGTGGGAATTTTTAAGTCGCAAAGCCCCAGCGGCCAATTGGAAGCCAACGCTCTGCATTGCCCAAATAGGGACAAATGAACCACGCATTGGGAGATAAAAATTCTCTTGCTGCTTTTTATTTCTTTTTTTTTCAGGTTTTTTTTTGCGCGTATTCTCCCCCTTTATTCTCTCCTTGTACAACATGCATTTTGGCATTTTTGCTTCATTGGGACCGATAGTTTGGAACGACCCCTTGGAATCCCCTACCGCGCTTATTTCCAAATTGTTGGAAATGCGTCACACGGTGTAACGGCTTGTCCCGTGATACAATTTGAAAGAGCAACAACCATGCAATTTTTCGTGGAAAATGTGGGAATGAAAAAAAAGATCGACAGGAGGTTACCAGCTGGTACAAGGGTAGTAAAAATCTCACTTGGTGTACAGAAACACGGAGATGGAAGTGTCTTGGCAAAAGTCACCTGGTCCGTTTCTTTGATGGCCCATGACGTAAAAAGTAATAAGAAAAAAAAAGTTTATTGTACATCAAAGTCGATTTTAACCGATGGGACCCGCTTCCGCTTTCCAGCTGCCCCCCATGGGGGTCTTGGGGGGTTTTCAGGAAGGGCCTTGAGGAGGAAAGGGCATTGGGGGGCGACGAGACGACGACGACAATGAACGAGTTTGTTGGACATGCTAGCTTTCACGATGACAAGTGTGATTGTAGATCAAAGTTTTTGAGAAGGAACCAGTGCAGATGTAGCAGTGTTTCCATTAGGATTAACATCAGGCGTTCCGGTTTTATGGAACATGAATACACGCACACCATGTGCATATACATACGAGCGATAAGCCCAAATCCATTTGTATAGTGTTGTTAAAGCGGGAACCTAACAGGCATGCTTTGGTGAAACCGCGCATTGGCGGGCAAGCGCTGCGGCGGGCAAGTTTCTGTTACCTCCTACACACACACTCACACACACTCGGACACACACTCGGACACACACTCGGACACCATGGTCGTCGGTTTGCCCTTCGGAATCCCGGAATGCCCGCGTGAACCTTTTTTGATCAGAATGCGAAATCACAACAGTCTAACCACATGGCAAGTGGAGAAACGCGTCCACACAATAGCACCAAGCTTGCCGTACGAATCTATTCAATAGAGAGTTAGTCGTAAGGATCCCCCTGCAGGGGCCATGTGTAGCTTACGACTGTTATTGCTAATATTGTTGGTAACATCGGACAAGTCGGAGCCTTTTTGGCGTACGACATCCATGGTGCGCGCCCCTTTGGTTTACAAGGAGGAACGTATGCAAAGAGATTTCATTAGACGGACCCAAATCTTCCATTTGATTCATTCCAACTAGCCAACAAACTACTCGCACCAACGTCACGCTTTGCATATGATCATGGGAAGCATCTTGAACAATATTATAAAGTGTTCTCCATACAAAAGTCTAGAATAAACAAGAACGACGACGACGAGAAAGAAGTCGCGTGCAGAATTAAAACAGTGGATGGGTTCTAATCGCTGTTGGAAATAACCGCCTCTACGGCAAAGCCCACTGGTCTTCCTTTTACAGAACGCGGCAAAGGCACGACCTTCCACTCAACCATTCCTCCTTCTTTCTATTGAGATCATGTTGTGGCCCCAAAATGACAAACGGTGACAAGTCCGTTTTCAACCTCAAACGTAGAAATTTCGACTTGTTGCAAACCGTTGGTAATCGTTTTACGAACATGCCTCATCAGCGTCAAACAGTGCAACGAAGCGTGTCTTAAGACCATGTCAGCAGAATTGCTTAGGTCAGCACTAGTCACGTATACCAAAATTACCCATAAGCAGTACTTGGACATGAGATGCCATCGCGTTTGAGAGATGGTGGATGGTGTTGAAGGCCACAATTGAAACGACGCCCAGATACTGGTACGCATGCAAAACCGTGCGACAAAGCGGCCATGCATTTTCTTGTCGGGCAGCTGCAAGCTCAGTTTCCAAATTCTCCTGGCTGCTGAGGTCGTGGGAAGGTGATCTATTACCAGAGAGACAGGGACAGCACTAATTGTGCAGAGAAATATCACTTGTACTTTTCCACATTTGATATGCCTTTTGCTTGGCGAAGAGCGGCGGAAGCAGCGACATAGCCAGTTGTCTAACACGTACCACATTGCCCCATTCGTACTCAAACATTTTAGTGTGAGATGCATGGCTTGTCTCACGCTCTTATCCCTCTGCTCTTGAATGCCCTTCAGAGTAGTTCAATCACGCAGGAAACCAGTATATGAGAGTTTCCTTACCTCTTTGCGTTGCCGGCATATGCCGTCCGTTGAGCTTCTCTGTTGATGCAAGTTGCGATTCAATACCGCTGGCGTTTATCACATGCTCGTTGTCGCTGCACCTTTCATCAATGCCTCTACACCGCTTCCATTCAGCAACACTTATGCTGGGTTGCACTCATCGTTCAGGAGAGTTCACTTTTGCGCTCCTTGGTAGCGCATCTTTTATCGCCAGATAACAATTCCATTTCACAGATCTCGGCTCCGGCTTCTGTCCGTGGGAATCCCTCTCAGTAGCGACTGCGAGAATATGCCACTTTCCTGTGTCTCTGTCACGGCAATTGGTGTTTCTTTCGTGGAGCAGCCGAGACACCGACCGGCAAGAGCTTAACTTTGTCTTCTTTCAAGTGATGGTCGTTCCTGACCATGATGTTACGACTTCCATCCGCGACCTCAACTTTCATTTGAGTATACACCTTTTACCGTCCGAGAGCTCCTTCTTGCATTAATGCATGGGACCCTTGTTTCGTCGTTGAGTGTGTGATCTTACGTTGGTGCAGCGCACATCGTTGCTGGCCGAGACCCGGCACTTCTCAGCAATCGCTTTCCAGGATAATTGGGTCCAATCTCTGTGATGACCGAGAAAAGTTGAAGGTACCGTTGTCTGCATGGTTCTGGTATGCATAGTCGCCTCCCCCGTATAAGAGACGACCTGGTCCGATTCCTCAAGCCAGGGCCACTTTACTGCATCGTATGGCCCAAAGCGGCGTGGCAAAGGTCCACTTTTCACAAAGCGGATTCGACTTTGGATATCTGCTTATCGCGTGGCTGTCAGGTTCCATCTTGTACAGAGTGGTTATGTGCCAATCGATTCCTGCTTGCAAAGTACTGTACACCGTAGATAGTCTAGCCCGATGTGACTTATACGAGCATGGATCACTACTACAGTTACCTTTAACTTTATCCGACCCACGCGTCTTGATGCATGACAGAGAGCTGCCTCTGACCGTGATCCATACCCAAACACTAGCGATGGAACTTTGATATAACGCCATCATGTATCCCCTCCACATTGCCGGCCTTGTCTCATGGTTTCGGAAGTGCATTTTAAAGAGCTAAATTGAATGGCCATAATGCCGCTCGAAGCGCCGGATGGACATGATCCATGCGAGCGCCACCTCCTCCTGTTCCTTGCGAAGGTCCAAGGACTGATGGTCATGAGTACCACCGTACATGGCCTGTTAATGCAGTTGTTGTCTTTGCCGACTTGGTAATGATTTGCATGGTAAGTCAGAACGGCGAGATATTGTCCTTGTGCTTGCGAGTGTAAATCGATGATATTACTACATGAGAGGGTTGCGCAAATGTCTTGTCTCTGGTGGGATAGTATTGTTCACAAGTGATGGAGCGTGAGTGCGCGAGAGACATGGATGACTTTTGTGACTGCCTGTGACCGTCGTTTCACGGAGTGGATGCCCATGAATGCGTAAGTGATTGGCTTGCTTGCTGATGAAGTTCGGTCGTTATGCTTGTTAGAGGATGACGCTAGCCAGAGAAACGCGACGGATGCCTGATTTTGCGGCGAGTATAGGGGGATGCCACCATGGAGTACCTTGCTGAAAGAATTGTGGTTGACATCCATGAGGCTCGGGCAAGGGGTTTCTGCCATATCGATATCAAGAAAGTCCATAAGGACTACACTGTCTTCGCTACCTCCATGGACTTCCCATGTATGTGGATGACATTATCGCATACTCAGATTCTTTTGAAGTGCGGTTGGAGCATCTGTTCCGGGTCGCACGGATAAGGCCCAACTAGCTTGAAGTCAAGTATCACTTTGCAGTGAATAAGATCCGCTTCCTCGGAAGAATACAATGAAGAAGACGTGGCAATTAATAAACGCAAGGTCACAGGTGTTGGCCTCTACCACCACTCAGATATTAGGAATATGGCTAGCTGGCCTGCCGTCTCTGCGATCTCCTGAAGGATGATGCTGAGTGGCAGTCGGTGAGCACAACTCTTTTGCGGGATCTGGGAAATTGATGGCCACAGTCCGGAACCGGAGAATGGATGGCCAATGGTTCTGAAGTGGTATGCAAATAAGCGAGCGGCAACTTAAAATATTAGAGGAGGGCAAAGAGTTGCAACTGGTATTCCTCTGGCAATCTTTCACGGATCCAGCGATGAATCATTTCCAACACCGATGGAACAGGTCTCGTCTTGCCGGGCAATCAGCAATACGATTTTGACCTGATGCGCAGGGCCAGTTTTTAGGCGTATGCTTTACTAAAGGGCAAGGGCTCCATCGGTACTCGAAAAAAATCAAACCAGGGATGTCTCTCCTACAGTGCAAGAGAAGAGCAGAAGACCGAAATCACCAATAACAAGATTTGGTCCAGAGAACCGCCATACGTACTATCTCCCATCACCAAGCATCAGAGATGTGCCTGCCTAAACGAAGACTGAAAGATTTTTCTTGGAGAAAGCACCTTTCGGCCATGAGATCCGATTTCAGATCGGCCGATGTTGGGATGGGCTAACGATAGCCCAGAGACGACGGCGATATCTCCCAGTGCTTCACGAGGGGAAATCCCCCCTCGTACAACAGTTGAATGCGTGAACCCATTCCGAATCTACGACCAGCGACAACATCATCTATTTCTCACAAGAGTAAGGGTATCAGCGACGTAATCTTCCAGCATGCATTTGTATCAGCATCTGTTAAGAGGAGATGCGCAACGATGAGCAGGAGGATTTGTGCCAATCGTTCCGATGGACGACGTTTCGGCGTTGATCAAAGATTCCCTCAAGATATCTATTATCCAGAGCCACCGGCGGGACTCGAAGCACCTGATTGAATTCACCGCCGGCACGGATCAGGTTGTCAAGAATAAGAACCTGGTAAACTCGCAGCCCGTCATTTTGCAGGGCGGAATGAAGAATGTGGAAGGATGACCTGGGAGTAACTGCAGTAAAACAAGGCCTGTCGTCTTTCCCTGTGCGCACACCGTTCAGCGCGGAGGCGAACAAGGGATGGTGGGGCCAAAAGGTAAGATTGACCATGAGGGTTTCGATGACGTGGGGCTTGATTTTGTCGACGCTCAGCACTAGGGAGGAGGTCCCATTTTTAGTCGTGGTAGTCAAGAGTTGAATCGAGTTCATACTATTGCTCGGCAACGACATGGACTTCATGATCTCGGCCAACGTCCCCAAAGTGGTCAGGGTCTCGTCCAGGTACAACTTTAATCGCATGTTAACCTTGCGAGCGAGAGCTTGCATAAGGTCCGCCACCCATATCGCATCGTTGCGGTCGGTCATAGATGGCAACCTAAAGGTGACGTCTAGGAGATTTTGATGGCGGAAAATGGTGCTTGCGAGGACGAGGGACGGTTGTGAGGCCAACGAATTGGATATCAATGCGGGTGAGTGCTGCCCTGTTTTCAATAAAGTCGGGGAGATTGGGCAACGCAGCGGGCGTCAATTCGGATATGACTGCGGCCTGCCACTTTGGGTGTGCATCAATGCCCTTTACGTATAGCCAAGGGCCTTCAACGCACATGACATTAAGGTGTCCCCAGGTGGTCGCAAGGAAGACATCGTTTATCTCTTGCAGGCGGGCTAGGACGTTTGCTGAGTCGGGCTCGAAATACGCTGGGGGAAGTAGGTCTTCGTCGTCGTCGATGTCGCTTTGTACAAACGGAATCTTTGCGTCGATGAAGACTTTGAACACAGAAGTACCTTGAAGAATCTCGCTACTTTTAGGAAGTCGACAAGCACGTCCTTTAAGGACCTGGCGTCGTGCACGAAGACGTGCATGGCAACAGTAGGGAAGTGGACGAAGGTATGTGGGGAAGGCGCTCACACCATAACGACATTCTAGCCCGAACCTTCACGTGATTAATACCAAATTGACCCGCGCGGGTTTCCGAGCCGTCACCTCAATCGAAAAAGTTGGAAGAATACCCACCACCACGCCATGTCTTCCGGCTGCATCACAATGGGCAAGAGACTTCCTTTCGAGATCCTGCACCATATTGTGTACTGGGCAGACGGCAGTGTGAGAAAGAAGATGCTGTTCTGCAAGGCGTTCAACCGCAGCGTGCTAGCTTTCAGATACGCTGAATCCAGCCTGGTGCACCGGCAATTTCTTGTAGCAGCCTTTCAAGAGGCATTTCTGCATAACACTGGCGCTGTTCCTTTCCAGCGCATCGTTCGGACAGGTCTAGCCATTCTAGAGGGACATGAGCTTGAATATCGGACTCTCGACGCCGTAACGGAACTCGCAACCGCAATTGACCCCACGCTGTCGCCGGATGCAGCCGAGATTATCGCAAGTTCCTTGCAATTCTGGAGGATGAAAATTACAAAATCTCACGGGGATCCCAACCGCGTAGTTTCGACGATGCTTGGCCAGGTTGGACGGTCCTCCTTGGTGGAAGACGGAGACCGGATCCTTTTCCGATGGTACAAAAACTCTGACGGAGAGATCAAATCACCCATCATCTGTTCCATAATTCGCGATACACTTGTCGATGCGACCGACTTTAAGTCTGTTTTATGGGGCCTAGCTATGGTGCCCCGGGAAGTCAGGAAGTTCTACTTTTGGGCTCACCTTCCCCCACCGGAAGACATTATTCCTGTATAAGAAGACTACATGATTGTTCCTTGTTTACCCTCGGCCCTGGTGGCCAGATGGCCTCAATCTGGATCACGTGATCAAACTTAAGAGGAAATCGTTCCATTCTGCCACCCGCAGTCCATATGATAGCCATCTGGAAAATCCCCCCTCATCTGACCCCATCTCTTCCGGCTGCATCACGATGGGCAAGAGACTTCCTCCAGAGATCCTGCACCATATTGTATACTGGGCAGACGGCAGTGTCAGAAAGAAGATGCTGTTTTGCAAGGCGTTCAACCATAGCGTGCTAGCTTTTCAATACGCTGAAGCCAGCCTGCACATCTTGGAATCCGACCTCTCAAAGCTGTTCGACATGGGACACTTCCTACGCACGTCGCTCAGCCCTATTCAAGTACAGCACCTTGTTCGCGCAAATATTTACTGCCACCGCTTCCAGCGGGAAAAGCAGCTTCACGACAAGACGGGGTTCCTCGTTCCCCGATCAAAGTATTCTTACAACGTTGAAGGAAGATCAATTGTCGTGGCAGTTTATGTCAGTCGCGACGATTCGCATGACCTGTTTGTGACGAAAGCGAGGATCTATCGAGACTACTTTGTCTCCGTTCTCATTCCGTTGTGTCTGACCGGGGCACAATTTGGCCTCGGGTTGTATCAGACCACATGGACCAAGAAGGCGATAACGGACAGTAAGCTGTCGTTTGGGGCGAACCTTTTCTTTACCATAGGAGCGGTTGCCAGCCTAGCCTTGAAAATCGGTGGCCTCTGGAGGGCACGGGGACCATTGGCCCCTGCCTTGCTCAGTTTCGTGATAGGGTTTGTGCCAGTTTCTCTCTTGTTCTATTTCTGCTCAAAATCATAAGCTTTATAGCAAACGTAAAGTGTATTCTAGACACGAATCCATGAAAGACTTTCCATACGGCTGAAACGAAGCCGCCGCTAACCTGATCACGTTCGTTTTACAAGCGCGTGATGAGTCCTGGGAGTTTATCGATAAAAGTGAGCAGGCTAAACACCTATCTACTAGCAAAGTGTCCTTATGATGCAATACTAAAGTATAACAGATCGGTCCTCTACGACCCGACAGGTAGGGTCAGACGGGAAGTGAAACTATTTCAAATTTGTACGAAAGCGGTCGAGCGTATCCACACTAGTGACTTCTGCTTGCGTTGGTAAAGAGAGTTTGGCTTATTTCCGCCCCTGAAGTAAACAAATAAGATAGAATCAATATTGGAAAAAGACTTTGAGCTGGAGAATGTTGTCTAATCTACCCTTGTACCAAAAGTAAGTCGTCGTGTATAAGCGAAACGCGATGGCCAAAAGCAGATCACGCGGCAAACGCGCACGCTCACGAACGCACCAAATCGTCGAGATCGTTCGAGCTTCCTGTCCGCATAGCTCCACAAACAGAGCATCTCAATAGCAAAAAACCACAACTACAACAACACCCGTCATGCCCGTTGCCCAGAACTTGAACCTCAGCGGACGCTTTGCGTTGGTAGTGGACTCCGTTTTTTCAGGCGAGGAGTGCCAGGAGCTCATTGATCTCGCGGAGCGCAGCGACGGTTTTGCTCACGCAACAGTGAACGACAATGGTCAGCAAGTTGCTTGCAAGCAGATCCGCAACTGTTTGCGCTGGCTAAACGACGATGCCAGCCTCGCTGATTGCGTCTTGCAGCGCTTGAGAGATGTCCTTCCATTGACTTGGAGCGGGAGAACCTTGTCTCGCTTGAACAATCAGTTAAAGTTCTTGCGCTACTCCAAAGGTCACTATTTCAAGCCTCATTTCGATGGGGAGTACACAACTCCGGATGGCAGCGAGACCAGTTTCATCACCGTTCAGATCTATCTCAATGAGGGCTTCTCTGGTGGGGAGACGACTTTCCTCCGTTTCACAGGGCTCGAACGGAAGATTCTCCACTCAGTGACCCCGAAGACAGGGAGGGTGCTCATCTTTGAGCATGAGATGCTTCATGAAGGCAGCGTGGTGAAAGAGGGGACGAAGTATGTTATTCGAACAGACGTCATGTATAGATGAGATGGGTTAGGGATTAGGATTAGGGTATCTTGGACGTTAGCGCCCATCTGTTCTATGTCTTTCTGCCTGCGACATGCGCTTGCTCCGATAATATTCTCTACATTACATAGTACATAGGAATGGACGAGCAGGCCCAAAAACAAGGCAACCCGTTCCAACAAATCACCTCAAAGGTCGCGAAGAAAGCAGACTAGCAGACTTCAGGCTTGCCTAGCGACCGCCGCACCTGTTTCTGAATATCGTCGGGAAGAGAAGCCGACGTGACGCGCCCGAAACCCTTACAGTTACTGCCCACCATCACCGCGCAGTTCCAGGCTAAGACCGGGTCGCTGAAAGTTCGGGTCTCTATATCGGTGTCTTTCACAACTTCTTTCACGCGAAAAGGGAGATGTTTGACAAATGTTTCAACTGACATTGCTTATGGAGTCATCATTCCATTGATAATAGTCTTCCAAGCAAATCACAAGACCGCTTATTCTAACAGTCCCTGTGAAGAGAATGTACTCCTTGTTGATATCCATCTTGAAACGTTTTTGATGCTATGTTGAGCTGACGTCAAAAGGAAACTTTCTGAATCGCCCCATTTCCAATGCAGCTGGACGAGCTGCTCATATGTGTCAACTCCTAGCGTGAAGAAAATTTCGGCTAGCCACCGTATTGTGGTATATTTGGTGGCCAAGTCGGAGGTTGTTGGTTTCAGGCGGAACTCACAGAGTTCTTTGCGGTATCCGGTTCGGTAAGCGGCCCATTCTTCGTTAGGAATGATGCAGATTTCGCGTAGGATTGTGGCGACTCTGGAGAAAGGTCGAATGTCGAGGTCGATCTGGCGACGACTCGATGCAGTGTGTTTGTTTGTAGTGCCTGATGGTGGGCAGTAACTGTAAGGGTTTCGGGCGCGTCACGTCGGCTTCTCTTCCCGACGATATTCAGAAACAGGTGCGGCGGTCGCTAGGCAAGCCTGAAGTCTGCTAGTCTGCTTTCTTCGCGACCTTTGAGGTGATTTGTTGAAACGTTTTCGCACGACATCGGTCGATATGAGAGCATAGGACGCCTCCGATAGGGATATGGGTGCCTGGTTGCTGGTTGGGTAAAAAGTTGGTCGCTAACGAGTAGCCTTGCCCAAGGCTAAGGCAATTAACGAAAGTGATGTGGACCTTTGGGTGCTGTACATGTGTGGGAACGACTTGTACTGGATATTTTGGAACTGGTGACGCCCACCAAGAGATCCACCAGTCCAAGACTGCTTCAAATGATGGATGATGTTAGCAAGATCCGTTGTCCTTTCTCACTCATAAATGGTGGATGGCTGGTAGGTCGCCGGTGTATTGGTTGAAAGCATCTCCCGCCCGAGTCCCCCGTCTCATCCCGCCGGACAACTGTTTATACAGAGTGCCGCTGAAATGAGCTTGGAGTCCTCGAATTTAGAATCTTCTTACCATCTCTTTTCAAATGGACCTCCGGAGCTGAGCATCAAGACACTGGCCCTATGATTATGAATGAGTATTCTCCCGAGGATTGGAACGTGCAATTGCCGTACATTCGCTGCCCGCAGCCATAGAGTTTTTCACATTGCTTGTAACGGAAACATGCCTTTGTATCTCATATTTTGACGAGATGGACAGGGATCTCTGGCCGAAAAGAGATCCTCGCTTGAAGACTGAAGGAGCAGTTTGCAGATCCTCTGAAGCCTGCAAGAGAGAGCCTTGGGAATCCACACGAGAAACAAACAATGCAAATGGTAAGAACGGGAATGACACGCCTTTCGCTGCTATCGCAATTCTGGAAATACACAACACAACGTAACGGCCATCGAAAAGCTCGCACCCAAGTCAACAGGACCGCATTCCATAGCTGGGGCAAATGGCAACGGACTCACCTGCGCCGAAGGTGGTCATCTACCGGATGTCTCCTCTTGGATAGCGGATACACAACTGCCCGAATCCCTCACTTTCTCTCGGAGAGATCTGCTTGGAGAGAGAGAACATTTGAGAGCAGCTTGCTCAACTGACAAACATTGCAGTGTCCACCAGAGAGAACTTTTCCGATCTCGTGCCTACGACATCTCCCGGCTATCAACTCATCGAGGAATGGATTCAGACACGGATAGCGAAGTCTCAACAATAGATACAGGAAAAATGAGAGATGGAAAAGGTTTGGCCATTACACGGACCTACCGGAAAACGGACAAGACCCGCGTCCATCGCCAAATGGAGATGAGTGTGCAGAGCAGTTTAGTGCAGACATTAGCTCCCACCTGCTATTGATGTGTTCCAAGAAGCACCGTCTCCAATTGATTAGGAGGAGTTGCATGAGCATGGTTCAGCGGAGGAAGAAGAAGAGGAAAATAAGGCGGAAGAGCAATACATCACGATTAGAAAACGTCCCGAATCTCGGCCATCTCGTGCGGCATTCCCCAAATGTTCTCTCTGAATCGTTCTTTGCTCACGAAGGTCCTAAGGACTAAAAAAAGTTCGTCTCTCCATCTTCGCCTCTTTCTCTTTCCACATGAACAATTGCGACATCTCCCCGACCAACAAATGGCCCTTATATCTGAACGCCGTACCGTTTGACGCTGTATCTCCTACCCAATACCAAGTGTGGTCGAGTATGTGTTGATCTCTTAGCTTTGCGCCATAGGCTGGACAAATGCTCAGGGAGAAATCAGGGAGAAGACCTCTCCTCAGTTCTGGACTACAGTCAATACGCCGCTTAGAGACTGTTATCGATGCTGGAGTATGGTGCATCCCATCGTACGCATGAGAGCACTGGATTGCCGGACGATACTTGGCTGCGAAATTCCAAAGTTCACAAGAGGCTAGGGCATTGCCCACCAGTGGATCACTTCGGTCGGGCACATGAGGAGAAGGAAGATTATCGGCGCTCTTCCCATTTGCAGTCGACGAAGGATTCCCTGGGCATCATCCATCTTAACACTTTCATTCACGGCCGACGGTCATGTCAACGATGGACCACGACTACGCGCTTCAAAGAAGAGTTTGCGCCTTTCAGACTTTGTGTTTCCGTCCCCCTTTCGCAACAGCGTCCCCCCTCCAGACATGGAGTCAGCCGCATGCGGAGCAAACAAGAAAGCCTGAGACAGTATCCTGCAGGCTCCTGGATTGGATCAGAAGCAGCGTCCCCCTCCGAGATTAAGAGCCTAGAAGAGATGTTCATTTTCTGAACACATCTCCTTGAAATGCTGTGCATTTTTTACATCGACCATACCAATCTCAAATCCCACGATTTTCTAGGACCATTCCAGAGATCAGATTGCAGATCTTCTCGTGGACCTTGAGGGACTCCAGGCACAATGAGAAGATTGTCCCAAGAGAAGATGGCCAAGAATTCAGACTCAAACGAGGATTGACGTTTCGCCTTACATCCAAATTGGGGGCAGTACTGGGACCGGCTCTAATCACCAGATTCCCGTGAGGTGTACCTGCATCTCTAGATTGGATCAAGTTAGAAAGATGTCGTTCCTCTCCCACCACGGCGAGTGACAATATTATAAAGCACGTCTCAACCAGGCAGACCTCGAATCCGACGGTTGAGTTCTCACTTTTGCCCGAGAAGTCGCGGCTAGAGATGTAAGATCATTTGGTAAACCGGTAGAAGAATGGTAGACTATTCCCAGAATCAAAAGGCGCCAACGAGGAGAAGAAAAATACCGGCGACTGGTACCGCAATGTAGAAAGACGTCTGGCGGATTCTTTGCACTGTCCGACTTGGCGGATGGTATTCTAGCTCAGCCAAAGGAGATCACCTCACCCGTACGGTAGATTGCGGCATGGGATCTAGCTCGATCGCCCAAACAATAAAGAATGCCGGCTCACGCTGCTTGTCGAATATTCTTTCACGATAGGAACCTCAAGTCCTCGTCGACCATGACCCTGTTGGAGGACCTCAACTAGTCGTTGACTGTCCTTTCGTTCGCCGTCCCACTTTGCACGGGATGGACCCTCATCCTTTCATGGCAATCATTGGGACTTGTCCCATTCGGAAATGAGAATCTCTCATGTCTCTTATTGGAGGTCTATGAAAATCGCTTGGATGACCATGTCTCCTATCCTTGATGCCAGTCAATGTTCCATTTATGACTTAGTTTGCCTGGACAACCACGCATTACGGTTGTCCATAGCCAATCCAGAGCCCGATTAACAATTTCAGTAATCCATAATGCTAGCGTAAAACCCATTCCCCACGCAGCCTTGTCACCCTAGGCCCCCATCTCATTATCACCTCCTTCTACTCTCGTACAGCCTGTATTGGTATAAACATTGAATCTTATACAGCGGGAAAACGCTATTTGAAACGGCAATAAGGGAACAACCGAGGCCTTTCTCAAAGGAGTTGGTCCAACTGAACGGTATATTAAAATCAGATCTGTGGTAGTCTTCCATAGAGGGTACGCATAGGGTGCTGATAGAGAAACTGACACCTTGGCTACATCAGAGGTGCGACTGTGCATCAACCAAGATCACTCCATCTGCTAGCAGGTTTTCGACCTTGACAATACCATCAACTGGTGTTTGAGTTTGCTACGTTCCTGCGGGCACATTTTTTTTTTCCGAATACGACACTTGGCGTCTCGTAGTCGAGTGAGAGCTCCTATTGCTGCCTGTGCTCGTTCAATTCGTCGGACGTGTCTGAATGGCTGGATCGCAAGTATGGGCAAAGAGTGTATGTCCTTTATATTCTCGACGGTAAACATCCGAACGAAATGGATGTGCGAACACGGTACAGGACGATCAGAACGAACGATGCATATCTTCTACCCTTTCCTAACTCCATCTATGAGGTGATCCAAGACTGGAATAGAGCATAGATTTCTATGACGATGTTTGCAGTTTCATATGAGCAGCGAGATCAGCCCGCTCAGCGCTACGATAGAGAAAGTGGCAAACTCAAGATGAGACATGCAATGATGGTATCAGTAGAGAACATGGCTGGCTGCTGCAGCAATCAATGACGCAAGCCAGATGTGGCCGATGCGCAGAGCGACAGCTTCATTTCCAACAGGCTTTTTGCCTGGAAAGAGGTTTGTAATAAGTAAACTTGAACTGTGCTAGGCACCACGTTTTTGTATCCTACCAGTATGGGGTCCTGACTGATCTCCCGTTGGGGTTGATGATCCAGATGTATTTGTGTCACCGCTGCCGGGTACAGTTTGGGTACTGCTGGAAGGACCACCAGGTCTGTTGTTAACTGGATTTGCTATTGACGGCCCAGTGCTCCCCTGTCCCGAGATAACCCCGGTGCCAGCGCCGCCAGACGATGGTTGCGTGCTGGACGGGCTATTGTATCCGTAGCTGCCAGGGCTATCCGGGATCATTCCGTTGGGTGTACCTATTTGGCCCGGAAGACCAGGGAGGGCACTGCCACTTCCAAGTGGAAGCCTGGGGTTACCACTTCCAGGTATGCTCGGAGTGCCAGGAATGCCGGGATTGCCAATTCCAGGATTGGTCGGATTGTTTGGATTGCCCAGTACGGGGGCGCTTGGATTGCTGGGATTCCCAATTACAGGAGGGCTGGGATTGCCGGGATTGCCACTTCCAGGGTTACTTGGATCGGGTTCACGATGTCCAGGGTTGGTGGGGTTGCTGGGGTCTTCAGGACCAGGATCGACAGGGCTTTCACCGGGAGGACTTTAGATGAGCCAACAGTGCACTTACAGAGTTACGGTCACCACACGATAATATCTTACATATTGGTATCTGGTCCACCATCGCATGTTCCCGGGGTTCCTGGAATCGTAGGGCAAATATCAGGCGGAAGAACGTCCGTGTTCGTTGGAGAACCATTTGGCAAATTTTTGCCTGGAGGTGCGATAACCTGAACACACTCGGGAGGGAGTGCCGTAGTGCAGTTCTGGGATAGACTGGGTTTAACGTCAAGTCCATTCCACAAGAAGTTAGCCTTTCTTGCCTCACCATTTCATCGAGGTGGTAAAGTCCATCGTAATTCAAGGACTGGATCAAACACGTAGCATTGACCGATCGAGTTCCATTGCACACAGTTTTATAGTGATTGGTCACCACAACAGGTTGATTGATCAACTTGGGAAAGTCTCGAAAAGGGTTGAAAGGCCATATTCCTTGCAAAGATGAGGAGTAATAATCCAAGCATCTAGTAGAGAAAGATGTAAGCCACTCGCTACGCATCTGTGCGGATTCCAAACTTACTTTAGGCACGTTGTGACTTCTGGGATTACGGTCTCTTTCTCTCTTATACACTGATTACACTCTTTCAAAACCGTCCAGCGCTGATTAATCGGGAATGCTCCGGCCATTCGCTCAGGGTCAGCGGCCACAGGATATTTATACGCGACGAATTCCGTCCCTGAACGACGGTCTTCCCGGAATGGCGGTGGGCACTTGTCACTGCAGTACTTTTTTTGAACAGTGTAACTGGAATTTGTGATGAGAAATGTTCAGTGAGTTTGATACACGGTTCAAAGGAACAAGGCACGCCTTACGGGCACGGCCAGCAGTATTCTCCATAACGGATTTGCCCTCGTTTAGTGAAATTCAGAGCCGGCTGGTAATCTGGCTCTTTATCGCGGTGCGCCCAATGAAAGTATTCATCCCAAAATGCTTTAGGAATGGGCTGTCCGTTGTGAGCGGGAACCAATTCTGGAGGTATCAGGTTATATACAGTGCGATTTGGTTCTCGGAAGGGATTGGTGCTGTTGTTGTCGATGAAACTGCCATTTCCTAGAAGATATGGGGATGTTCGATTGACGTATTTGATCCCAATTATTAACTGGGCAACGATGCCGGGGAGCCCGCTGACAATCGCCAACAGAAATATCTCCAGCATTCTTGAAGAGTTGGCGTTCATCAGTCACCGATGGACGGACGACGATGGAGACCACCGATACCGATGGGCTCCTAATAAAAGTCACCAACCGTCTGCTGCGATATGCTTTTTCTTTTTTTTGTATGCGCTCGTGGTAACCATTTGGCAAAGTGCAGGCGTTCAACCAGGCGCCCTCCGAATGTCAAACTTCTGTTTTCTGGCATTTTTTTGATTAATGATCAAAAACAAGGGCAATATTCTACCATTATCTGCAATGGGATCGGCGAAGCGCAGTTTTTGGAGGGAGTATCCATAATATCCATTTTGAACACTCGACTTTTTTTTCTGAAGCGCCCTCCGCTGAGCAGAGTGTTATGACATGTTCCTTCCAGCGCCAGTTTCAAAGATTTTTTCAACAAGGCCCAACTTGCCGAGATTTTTTGGCAGAGTTGCCAACGAGCACGACGGCTAAAAACATACGGCAACTCCGTTCAACGTGGTACGTGTGGGGTATCATGCCCTTTTGATGATTGCCTCCTGCGTGCGGTATATGTGTGCATGCAAGTGTTCTTGGCAAAAAGAAAAATGATTTCTTGTTCCAAAAAACTTGACAAGTCCTCCCCCCCATCGTTTTGCGGATGGCCAGTCCCGGCGGATTGTCCGTACTGGCCGTCCCCCGTCAACCGTCAACGGGGCGGGCCGTAGTGGGCCGTGGCGTGCAACAAGTTGGTCTTTGAAATGTCCCCCGCCAGAGACGGAAAATGAAGTTTTTTGCTCTCTTTTTTTTTAGTCTGCCATTTACCGCAATTGTTCGCTTCCCTCTTGGTTTGCTGGCACGCTTTTGTTTATTCTGTGGAGCCTCCCTCCCCAAATGGTTCGCCGCCCACCTGCTTATCATGCCAAAATGCACCATCTTCCTTTTGCGTGCTTTTACCAATCTCCATCCAAATGACGGCCAAAAAAACATTATTATAATCATCATCTTGGTGCTCAAGTTATTTTTTTTTTTATTTTTTTTTGGGGGCAACATTTTGTTTGGAAGGGAGAGCGACATCTACGTTTATGGGCATGGATAAACAAATAGTGACAAAATACCGTCGGCATCATTGAGGGCTTTACTACCGCCTGCAACGACTTTTCGGCCCATCGGTTTCTTCATTTCCTCATAACACAAGTCTTTTATGAAAATCTCGTTATCAACCCGGTCGCCGGGGCTGTCCCCATCATCCATCCACTTGCCAAAGCCAATCCGCTACCTCCGCAACTTAACACTGGCAGCCATCGTGGTGCTCTTTCTGGGGGCCATCGCGATTAACCTTCACCGTTATGTCACTCAGGTAGATCCATCCTTCCTGATCATGCCGAAAGCTTGAGGGAAACTTTTATTTATCATGTTCATCTTATCGTCTTCTTTCGAAAGGTGCCTCTCGTCAGAAACTCTCTTAGCAGCATAGGACTGGCGGTGCCAGGTAGTCCCAACTCTGTTGTTCACTATTATTGCAAAAGCCATTAAACAACATTTTTACTGCCCTCGATCATTCTCTCGTTTCAGAAATGGTTTTCTGCATGAACGCCCAATACTACAATGTCCCGGCGGCTACGAGCTTCTTGGCCGGCGATGCTAATCCCGTATGCTTTGGAGAAGTCCTTGGAAAAGACGCCACGGTCGGGACGCCTGTCCCTTTGTCTCAATATGTCGCACCTTTTACCTTTCCTCAAGACGGCGGCAATGTCATGGTAGGTATCGGAAATCGACAGCGATGCATGTCTCTGCGCTTCCAGCTTAATTGAACGACAATGTCTTTTTAGTGGGATACGAATGCAACGATTCCCTGCCACCGATTTTCACCGCTCGGTCGACTCCGCTTTTCTGCCTATGCGCCTTCATCAACCAGCGATCCCACCAAATATATTTCTGCGATTAGTTGCGGGTGCGCTCATAGATTTCCTTGGCGTTGTTTTCTACTTTCTCTGATTGTGGAGTTCGTGTATTCCACAGCTATGATTATGACCCCTCCAACAGAACAAAGGACGATGGCAATGTATGGCCCCCGAGACTGGATCGGCTTACAGCGGCCATATTCCCGCGCGAAGCCCCAACTAGCCAACTCCAGTTCCTTCCATCGGAAGTCTTATACAACACTTCTATGAGTCTCTTTTTACAGTATCAAGCTGCGGAGAAAATGGGACGGGAACCGCAAACAATTCTTCAATGGTCAATGGGAAACAGTTTGGCTTACTATTGGGTTCAATCTCTAACACCTTACAATCAGAGAACGTCCCACCACTCAAGGTGAAAAATCCTGGTTTGTTTTAGACCGTCATGCAGCGTTGGACCTAACGTCGTATATAGCATATATGTCCGCATCAGCCCTTCCAATCTCCTTACGGAAGCCAACAATCCCAACCTATTCCAAGTTCCCGTTAGCCAAGAAGTGCGATCGATCACCATTCTAGATATATTCGTGACAATGGGAGGTGTTTTTTCGTTTCTAAGTAAGTTCAATGGTTTTGTTGATGGAGGGCTTTGGACGTTTTTTTTTCTCACCGACAGGTACCAGGTACCATTTTCTTGATCCTATTTGGCTCACGCAGACTTCAACCCTTTGGCATTGTTCACAAGTTGTTCAGCATCCAGTTGCGTACTTACCTCCAGTCAAAGTACGGGAAGAATACAACCCTTATTGAAACAAACCTCAACTCGAACGCACCACCAATTACGGTAGACGTTATGCCGGACACCAACGCACAAACCCCCAAATCCCATCGATCATGGTCTCCGTCCACAAAAGAGAGCCCTGGCGATGTTGTTTGGAAAACCTATACCCTTGACGAACCGGCAGTATGCCTTGAAGCCCAGCAGCCGCTACCTACAGACCATGACCGCCTTCGCGCTATTGAGAATATATTGGAAGAATTTTACATTGACACATCGACGGAGTTTCCCCGACTTTCCAGCTTGCTTCCGGGATCTTCCAACAAACCTCGATGATACCCCTATCACGCTGTCTTGGGTTTACGACGTGTGGTTGCTGGTCATCCACACATTTATGCCGCCGGTTTCCAACCTGATGAGACGACTTGTAGACGTTAGCATTAGTTTGGCTCACTTGCTACCACAAGGACACCACTGTCTGCTAGATCACATCTGCTATTGAGATGAGCCTCATAATGGTACCCCTCATTCCCCATCGTGTAGCTCTCGTTACTTTGATGTGCTCCGGCTGAGGACGTTAGCGGTGTTACGCTAGAGATGAATGGAGAGCATTGTTTTGCACTCTCTCTTCGTTTAATGCGAACGAGCAGGAGCATATCATGTTCATATTTCCTAGTGTCTACATGATCTATCTGAGGCTGAACAACTGTTGAAGTTATGGGTCCGGGTGATTACCCAATTGCCCTCTTAAACTTAAAACACAGAAACGACATGCCACACCAACTTTTTAACCTGAGAGTCAATTTCAATGGGTCGGGTGGGTGCGTGCCTACCGACGGTTTAATATACTCACTGTCCTCAACGGTATTGAACCATGAATTCGCGAGCAAATAGCTATCCAAAGACGATGAAGGCAAATACCAACAATCATATCCTCCATCTTGGAACTTGAAATTCCGTTGAAAATCCAGAAAGACGTTTCGTCACTGCACATCCATAGTTCATCTGGACATTTAAACCAAATTTCCTTTACTGCTTCTTGTAAATTACAAAGTATATTAAAAAACACATGAAAAAATACAATGTACAAACTTTCCCTCCAAACACACGCCCATCAACACCATCAACACCCCACAACTAACATTTCCGAATAACAATAAAAAAAGAACTGTACAGTATCGCTCCAATGTCCACACAAGTTTGTTTTTGGGATCCATTCGATGGAAAGTGAAAGATAAAGTCCTTTTGAAAACTCTTATGCAGTCCGTATGGTCACGCAAACCTCACAACACTCCCGTGCAACAGCCATTTCGCGTGTGCGCCGTTCCTGTATTATGAAAGAATCAAACTTGAATACGTGCAGACGACCATCAGCCAATGCAAGAAAAAGAAAACACAAAGCCTCACCTGTCCGACACCCAAAAATCGTTCCAAAAGTCCCTCCAATTGCAATACCTCCAAATACAATTTCACCACTTGACTTGCCAGTTCCATAGCCTCGCCCACTACCCGTTCCCGTTCCACCGCGTTGCTCATGTCGCCAAGTTCGCTCATGGCGTGTCGGCGGGAAAGGTAGCCAGACACTTGCGAATTCATGACTGTCACATGACGCTGCCGCGCGTCGAGGAAGGCCTGTAGGTAGTCTGGGTCCACCTGCATACAAAAAGTAAACAAAGGAAAAATGGTCAATACTGGACATTTTTACTCGATCTTCACAACGGTTCCGGTGTAGGCGTTGTCACGATACACACCTGCTGATAAGCCAAAAGTCTCTCTGCAACACCTTCCAAAGCCTGTTCTCCATCCTCACCATCCCCAACCAATGGTGGCTTGTAAACATTTCCATCCTCTACATTCCGCATTCCGCCCACCATCGCCGCGAGCCGTTCGATCTCCTTACTTCTCACTCCGCTGCTCAATAAATCCCCAGCGAATCCTAGCCAGTCTTCCAGTAGCTGAACAACCAACTCAAATGACGCAGGGAAAATTCGAAAGACTTCTATGGCTGTCTCTGCGGTGAGGACTGTGCGTTGGTTTTGTTCCAGGGAGGGCTGAGTACGGGTCGGTTCCAGAGGTGGTGTTAATGGATGAGGGTTCGGTATGGGTGACGATGGTAAAGACTGTAGCTTGAGATCTCGGCGATGTTGTTGGCGGTAAGGGAGTTCATACCGCAAACCCTCGGGCAGATATGGAACTGTGATTCCCATAAATCCTAGTTGTGAGCACCGCATCCAATGGTCAGCAACGGAAGAGAGCACTGGCAAAATAACAGTATATCATTAGATACTCACCGATGAGGATCTCTGGTATCCATGTCTTATCTACGTTGTATGTGACCACTCCTTGATACAAGGCTTTGCCTTCATCGCCCTCTTCTTCACCTCCAACAATCAAGGCAGCCAGCTCTTCGGCATACGCAGCACTCTCAATACCACCACCACCCTCTTCCTCGCCTTTCACGGCGGCAGTTACCAAAACGCCCCCGTTTGCTCCAACCTCAGCTTCCACTCTCTCAAGAACCACCCGTTCGCTGTCCACCCTGAGAACCCCCGCCAAATCCGCACGTAACCAATGACCAAACTCAGCATCTTGCACCAGCTGCTCATACCGCGTCTGGATCCGGAACGTCACGAACGCTAATGCGCCATGTTGGGAAAGAAGCCTTCGTGCAGGTGTTGTCATTGTCGAGCCCGGTATACTAGTATCTGGCAATGGCGCAAGTGCAGCAGAAGCCGAGCGACCATGGCCCATAGAGCGTCCATGTCTCCGCCCATCTACACTTGTCTCAGTACTGACCTCGTCGTCGTCGTCCTCATCATGTCCGTTTCCAAAAGGGTCATAGTCTCCAAGTATACCATTTACAAATAAAGATGACATGGAGGTATCTCGAGTGAGCGCTGGCCCCAGTGATTCTGCAGAATAGGAGACCTCGCTATGCAGGGAACTCAGCGACACTTTACGGCTTTTAGCCACCGTTTCACCAGTAACAGTTTCGGTCGATAATGAACTATTGGAGCTAGTAAATATTCCCGAAATGCTCTCCCCATCAAATCCCGCGCTATTTCGCTGCGACTGTGAGCCAGCTATCACTCCTGATTCCTCAAAGTCCTGCTCAAAATTGTCGTCCTGGCCAAAGAAAGCATTAAGGTCGTTCAATGTGTCCAGTAAATTTCCATTCACGTCATCCAATGCCCATAGCTCCAGTTTTCCGCTTGCGCTTTGGTCATTCAATATCTTGTCTGGCTGGGATCCACGTCGTTCTCTGGTACTGCCTCCTACCAAAATATTGCTGGTCGGACTAGGTCGGACGCCCCGTCCACTGTCTCGATCCGCGACACCTCCACTGTAACTGGTTTTTCTCCCTAAGCCGGCAAGGTCGTGCGCACCTCCACAAGTCGACGCAACCCCGGTCATATTGTATCGGGCCACCCGTGCAGTGGCGTTGAAGTCCTTTACACGCCAGCCACTGTCTTCAACAGTTTCGGTGGTGTTGTTAATCGCTGGACTCGCCAACATTGCCGGTAAGGCATCTACCTGCGCGCCGCCTTCACGGGCAATTTTGTAGATGCTTTTCCCACCAAACACCAACCGAAGGTTCGACTCCCCGATGGCTATCGTCCCCGAAAGCGCTTCATCCAGCACTTCCAATGCTTCTATAGCCAGATCCGTTTGCAATATTGTCAGAAGAGGTGCAATCAGCTCCTCATCAAGGCTGTTTAGGGCCAGTAGCGGTTGACCGCCACCACCAAATGCCGGCCTGCAAGAGTCCAGCGTAGGCAACATAAACTTGATAATGGCCAGGACACGTCGTCGGTAAAATCGGTGGGAATTGGATAATAACCCCATGAGAAATTGAAGGGCATCCACCTCATGAGTAGGAAAGAAGGCGTCCTTGATCAAGGATAGGAACTGCCTCAGGAAATCTTCTTTGCTCCTGAATCGTTGCTTGGCGTAAGAAGACATCAACCGGGCAATACCAGCGTGTCCTTTCTTCCCAACAAACTCTGAAATGGCGGCAGCCACAGCTGTGCATTCCTCTATAGTCGCTCCTGCCGCCTTTCCGCCCTCCGCACTCGGGTCGGCCTCAAAAGTTTGCATCCAGCGAGGAAGGTTCGCTAAAAGAGTAAACAGGACTCGGGTGTTGGACGTGTCGACCAGAGACCCGTCATCCAGAAACACGAGCGAATTGATTAGTCGCAGTGATGACTGTTCTGTAACGGAAGACGAAAGCCCCCGCAACAGTAGCGACTGCAAACCCGTAAATTGTCCTCTCCATTTCGTTGGTAGGTTGATGAGCAGAATATTGCGACAACTAGGATCATCTAGGTTCAGTTTTTTGAGAATCTTCTCCAACAGCCTGACGCCTTCCAAGTATTCCCACTCGTGGGGCGAATGAATGCATGCTACTGCGGCCCAGAAAAATTGAGGAAACAGTATCAATCGATACCCATCAAGACTGTCAATCATTGCCGTAAGCGTCATGATGTTCTCCAGGGCAAACCCCTGTATCTCCTCCGTGGGATCCGCCAACGTATTTGCCAACCGTTGCAAGAGTTCCCCGAGCATCCTTTGACTGAAGGCTGGCATTAGAGTTCGGAAAATTTGAAGTGAACGACACGCAACATGTCGAACAGGACAACTCGTCGCCCACGCGAGAGCAGTCTCGCCCCAAGATTGGACAAGATCACAGTCAACCACCGACAGAAGATCCAGAACATCGACGACCAATGCACCAAGCTGATGTTCAGATTCGATATCGTGATTTTTCGGCGTGATATCCTCGTAAGGCCAGAGCCGCTTTCCTTCTTTCAAGCTGAGAGCAGCGTGGACTGTATCGATATGTTCACCAGCAACATCACGTGGGACGATTGACTGGATGAGGTTGATGAGCAGCAGCCGGTTTTGCTCACATATAAGGGTAATGAAGTGATCGAGTTGAACAAAAATGATGTGCAACAAAAGTGGTAGGTGTGGCCTCAGGGCTGCTCCAACTTCCACAGCTAGGTCCACAAGGAGAACACATGCAAGCTGCCCCTTGGAAAAGGCAGGCCGCTTCGGCATATCTATCAATACTTGCTCCAAGTCAGCCATGTACAGAGGTGGACGTGGAAGGTGTTTCGTTTTGGTCATTTCAATCGCCGGCGTAGATGTATCACCCGATATCCCGCTTGGCACCAGACTTTGCGGAGTAATGCGCTCGACGAGGGCGTCAACCAGCTGTGCGCACGCCAGAGTTCTTGCCAGGTACACCATAACCTTCTTCGCATGCCGAACAAAATTGGGGTTGCGTTTTTGCACGCCGACATTGAGCAAGTACTCAACGGCTGTACTAACGTGACGCTCAATGATAGCATATGCTTCCGAATCTGCGCCATCACGGGATTGGGATCGCAAATCTTCCGCACCGGCCTCACGATCACCATCGTTACCCTCGTTTGATTCCGTGACTGGCTCAACAAGCTGCGCCCACAGGTTTTCAATCTCCGTGACATATTCGTCACCATACTTCACGGTCAAATAGAATAGGTTGGTCATCACGATTTCGGAAGTGCCCCTAAGAGCTCCGTCGGTAGGGATCGGTGCCAACTCGACATTTCGAACCCAAGGAACCATGAAGATAAGGATATCCCGTACTCCATGAGGGTTTCCTGATTTTTGCCCATTTCCGTTTGCTACCAGCTCAGAGATCAAAACCATTTCCGATAGCATCTAACAACAAGATAAAACAATTAGCAAAATTGGCGAAAACTCAACCATTACATGGGACGCCAACCTCGTGAGTCATTTCACCTCGCTCGCTCGCCAGTCTGGCGGACACCATTGCCTGTGCATATTTATACACAATCGGTAAAGAGCTGGCAATGGCAGCGGCTTCATACGTAGCATGCTCTTCGTCAATCAAAGCCATCGCAGCCATGATGGCAGCTTCGTCATCCCAACCATCGTTTCCATCTGGATCCAATCGATGCTCCAGCATATGGGCATCGAGATCTGACAGTTGTGGAGGAGGACCGAAGAACTCCTTCACCAGGTTGCGCACAACGCCATACTTGGCTTTATTCGTCTTGTCGCCCCAGAAACGATTTTCTATTGCGCGCAGCAGGCGAACGGATCCACGTCGTATGTGAAGGTTCGGATCACCGGCTTTGTAAAGGGCAAGTGCACACATTCGGGAAGGTGCGCAAGGATACGCCTCCTCCCGAACGAAAATATCCACAAGTGCCATGAAATACCCGACAGTTACATTGCTGTGAACATCCCCGATGTAGCATTGCCGTACGACATCGCTTAAAAGCTGTTCGTTTTTTCGATTGTGCGTAAGGAGAGCTTCCAGAGCTGCTCGCGCAATGACATGGAACTTTTCATCTGGTGACGCGAAGATAGAGTCAATCCACGAAACGAGTGCTTTGAACTCGAATCCTACAGCAGAATCGCGTGGATTGACAATAGGTCCTTTGCATAACGCAGCCATCGCTTTGAGGGAAGCAGTTTCCAGCGCCTTTCGCTGTTCCTCCATTGTTGAGGTCAATGCGCCTCTTTCCCGGATATCCTTCACCTGATCAAGCACGGAAAGCATCATTTTTGCTTCTCTTTCACGGGTTCTTCCACGATATTGCCCGTAACCACACCATTGTTCAAAGAGACGGAATAATCCCAGCCGTAGATCGTAAGGCATATACCGTTCCATATTTTCCGACTCTCTGCTGAAATTTGTTCCGTCATCTGAACTGTCAACAGCTGCCACGAGATGGTCGTAAAATCGCTCGATGAAGCCACTGTAATAGTAACGCAGCATCTGATGGTCCCACTCCAATTGAACATCCGCGTCAGAGAGGAATCGGGCCATTTCGCGAATATATGTGATGACACCAGTCATAAGAGAGTCATTTCGGCGGTATTGGACGTGGTCCACAAAATCCGCAACAAGCGAGAGAACGTGGGTGAGTTCCATGCGTACGCGTTCGAAACGTTTGGTTTGTGCTGTTTGCGCAAGCGCCTGACTAGATCCGGCCTTGCGACCACTGTCCTTGTTTTCACCCTTACCCATAGCAGCTTTTGCCCTCAGGTCATCCACCACCGATTTCATATAAGATTGGACGTCTTCCAGAAAAGTCTGATAACTGAGCCAATGAATCGCGCCGAGTGAGGTCACGGCCGCTTGTCGAATTGAGGAGCGTTCACTGGAGAGAAGTGGAAACACCATTTGAAAGAGTTGGTGGGCGGAGGCAATGGGCTGTGCACTTCCAGTAGCTTTGGAAAGAAGCCTCTGTGGAGCACCTGGCTCCATCGAAAAAGGATCCGTTCGATCTCGCTCCAAAAATGACCCGCTCACTCCAACCACGCCGTGCCCCGCGCTCGTCTCAGCAGTCGCGCGGGTAATCTCAATGCTGGCACACGCAAAGACCATGTAGACTTTCCATTGATCCACCATCTCATCTGTCAGACTGAGCACAGTGCCCGTTAGCCCTTTGTTGGTTCCACTGCCACCAAAGCCCGTACGGTCATTGGCCCATTTCACTGTTCCTGTACTAACTTTTCCCGCTCCGCCGGTTTGTTCGGCAGCTGAAACAATGCTAGCCTGCATTACAAGTAATCTTGAGCATACATCGCGCAAACACAGCTGCAGCGTCCTCGGGCTCGCATATTGAAAGCACCATTTTATCAGATCGGGGAAACACCGGTTCCATATAATCGCATCCTGCTGAACGTCAGAACCGGCAATATGAATGAGGGTATCTTTAGCAGAGACGACATTGAGGTACTGTTGCTGCCTTTGCTGTTGTTGTAGTTTTTGATGTTCGCTACGCGTAGATGCAGCCAATACGGGATCATGATAGTGTCTTCGCACGAGGTCTGGCCCGCATTCTTCCATGATGCGTCCAATGCGGCTCCGTCCGACGTCCATCTGTGCGTTGTAAACGTTGCGCTGCAATGTGTACTGCCTGCGCAAGTCATTGCGAGACTGCCGACGGAGAGTCTGGCGTCGAGCCTCAGCTTTTGTTAAACCAGGAAATTGCTCCTCCAAATCATCCATCGGGCGCCCTTTCAACGCCCTCTCAAATTGGTCAGCGAATTGGAGGATCCGGATAGCTTGCTTTCGGACAGAAGGAACTTGCGAACAGAGGAAAAGTAAACCTCGACTCTCAATTTCTTCTACAATCCAATCGGCTTCCATGTCATCCCACAGCTTTGGCGATTCTTTCACCTCCTCAAGCCATATTTGAAGTAATGCAATGTAGTTTGTAAGAACCGACCACGTCGCTCCTTGATGGCCGTCAAATGCCAGGTTTGTCAAAATGTCAGAGTATCGTTCATTTAAGATGCCTATGCCAGTATTGGCCGCAATCCGCACGACCTCCCAGCAATACTGGTCCCTTCATATCCCAGAACTTTTGCGCGCTGGGG